CCCTCATATCCGCGAGCACAAGTGGCAGGCACATTGAACAGTTGCGCAGTAGTCTCTGTCTCCGTGACCACGTAGCCTTCAGTAGATTCAGGCGATTCACATCTGATCTTTTCCTCACAGCCACTGAGAGTGTATGAGCTTAGACGGCTACTGCACTTGGTTGCCTTGGGACTGCCTGTGTGGGTGTCTGCACAAGCCACATCAACCTTGAACGATCCGATGACCATTGAAGTTTCTGAGACAATGTAGCCCAAGGTTGAGCTGGGAGCGAAACAAACATCAACGGCATAGCATCCACTTAGTCTGTAGCCTTCCAAATGGCTGACGCACTTCTCTACCTTTGCAACTCCGTTGAAACCATCCGCACATGTAGCTTGCCTCGGTTACAAAAGTAAAAACTTAACATTTGAACTTAACAACTCTGCGAACTCAAAGCATTTAGGTTATTGAGTCGAGTTCGTTCGAAGAGTAACAAGAAGCTACTAGTAACAAGTGCATCCCTAGTAGTAACAAGTGCCTTACTAGTAGTAACAAGAAGCTATTAGAAACAAAATAGTTGCAGCAAAAGAACACATCAAATGTGTCTCCCTTGAGATCGGTCTCTGTCAGCACGTAGCCAACCACATCAGCTGGTGCAGAGCAAACGAATCCGCGGCAACCGCTTACACTGTAGCCTCAACAGCTCATGCGCTGTTCATGGCAACCATGAGTTCTTACCCTAGAGGTATTATTTTGCAAATCCACCCTTTACCCTTTACTTTAGAGCGACAGCCTGACAGAATTGCTATCCAACAAATGCTTCGACCTAAACAATCAGCAATTAACTTCTTCACCTCATGTCCTCCAACCTAATTGCGATGGCCTCCATCCAAATATCCTGTTATTGTGTAATATCAAATGTACAGTACTTTGAGACTCTGCCAAGAAACGGTTGTTTTGCTTGTCACAGCCAGTGACAACAGCCTCTCCGTGGTAGCCATCTTTTGCGCTGCAGCTGGCAATGACCTGGCTAGTTGGTCGAAGGCCATTTCGGACATGATACAAGCTGTAGGTTTAAAAAATATATACTCTCAAATCTGTATATAGTCTATTCTTGTCCTGCGAAGACAGGTCTGCTTCCTTCTGAAAGCACGCCTTGAAATTGTCGGCTTGTAGGGACACTTCTTGGATAATGTAGCCATCCAGGTCTTTTGGAGCGACGCACAAATTGCCTGAAAGACTGGCACAACTTGTGGTCGCCAAGCGACGTAAAAACGCCAAGCTGGTCGGATGGTTCCATGTGGTTCCTGGTTTGTGATACGTTCGCTATCAACTTTTCAATTGTCCTCGCTTGTTTCAGGTTCCGAACAAGAGAGAACGAGGTCGCAAAACAGCCACCACAGCAAGGAAGACCCTAACAACTTTACAACGCAACGCTTGCTTGAACTTCCTGAGCTATGTGGTAACCTTGTGAAGCTTTGAACGCCCGAGAAAACCCAAAGCGAAGAATCACAGCAATTGCAATAGAAGGCGCTCCAAGTGCAGCCGCTGATTCTATAGGCTTGCCCCGGGTGCTCACAGGGCTCAGATTTTGGATCACCTACATAGCCCTCTGCACACTCCACAGCCACCTGGCAGTCGACAGCAACACTTTGCTCAGCCTTTTGGGTTCGTTTGGGTCGTTTCATAGCGAACGATGTCCTTAGACCTTAGTTAGGCTCGTGACCGTTAAGGTTCAGAAGAGCGAAGACTTGCGGCGGACGAGAGCTAGCTGCAAATAGGGGATGCGCGGCATGATGTGATGGTCCCAAACGAATGCTGTCAGAACGCTCCCAAATCTCACATCCGGAGGAGTTGAACCCGCGGAGGGGGTTGTCTAGCAGATAATTCACTAGGTGGGAGATTGCATCCCCCCAATACTTGCTAAAGCTGAAGCTAGCTTTCGTGAAGAGCTAATCCCGTACCTGAGGTCTGGTGTGCACCCTCACATGAGTCGAAGTGCATCGGTGCATTTCATCCGGCCTGAAATCCATCAATGTGCAAGGATGTCTCAGTGACATGGAAGCCTTCCGGGACTTCAGGTACAGTGCAATCCGCCAAGGTGACCTCAGAAATTCCGTTTCAAAATGCAAAAAAAAAAGCAACAAACAGCACAATCAAATTTCAGCCAAAGTGCTGTCGTGGTGGAGGTGCTAGTTGTAGTGGTGGAAGTTGAGGTAGTGGTTGTGGTGCTAGTCTGTGTAGAGGTAGTGGTGGTAGTTGTTGTAATGGTGGTTGTGGTCGAAGTAATGGTTGTGGTGGTGGTGCTGGTACTGGTTGAGGTGGTCGTGCTTGTAGAAGTTGAAGTGCTTGTCGATGTGGTGGTCGTAGTGGAGGTTGATGTTGAAGTGGTAGTGCTCGTGCTGGTGGTCGTCTCTGTCGTTGTTGAAGTTGATGTAGTGGTTGTTGATGTGCTCGTCGTCGTAGTGGATGTAGTGGTGCTTGTGGTCGTCGTGGATGTTACAGTTGTTGTGGTCGTGCTTGTCACAGTTGTTGTTGTGGTGGTGCTTGTAGTGGTGGATGTGGAAGTGATGGTTGTAGACGTAAACGTGGAAGTTGTTGTGCTCGTTGTTGTGGTGGTCGTTGATGTGATCGTTGTGGTACTTGTGATTGTTGTAGAAGTTACAGTCGTCGTTGATGTGGTAGTGGTGGAAGTTGTGGTCATTGTACTTGTGGTGGTACTCGTGCTTGTGCTAGTGGTGGTTGTGCTTGTAAGGGTTGTGGTCGAAGTGCTGGTGGTGGTGGAAGTAGAGGTGGTTGTAGTAGTTGTTGTGCTGGTGGAAGTGGAAGTGATGGTTGTGGTGCTTGTGGTAGTAGTGCTTGTACTTGTTGTGGTCGTTGTGGTTGTGGTGGAGGTCAAAGTGGTTGTGGTCGTGCTTGTGGTAGT